TTGTTTGAGATGATGATGAATAAATGAGATGATTTCTCCAATGCCTGTCAAAGAATAGAACTGCCATTGCGCAGTTATTATTTCTAACTCTGGTTTCTAGTTTAATCCTCCAAGCATTATCATTTCGCTTAAAACGATGGCTAACACATTTATAAAATTCATTATTTGCTTATTTGCCATAATAAGCCAAATCTACTACTCAAAACATTTAAAACTTTTTAGGGAAGCTGGTTTCTCCTACTCAACATCAATTGGTGTTAATGCCTGCAGGGCTTCTCTGGAACTTACATTCTTGTGTGATGTCCATTCTGTAACCATTTCTTTCCAATCTTTGGTCTCTAATTCATTGATATGAAGTTGCATGACCTTCAAGGCAATGTGATGTTGCAAAATTATTTATTAAATTTATTACTAAAATGACCTTCATGAAAATTTTGCCCTCTTGAAAATATTTTATAGTGGCATTATCTATGACACATGACTCTTCAGCAACATTAAAACTTTACGTACTAATACATTGTTAACTCAAAGGACTATGACAAACGTCTCGTCAAATCCAATTTTTTTTCCTGTTCCTCAACTTTAGTGGTTCGAAGAGGGATTTCAGGTACCCAGTCCATCCTCCCACTTAAAAAGCAGTATTCTGGATGTCTCTGCCAATAGGTTACATAGCCTCTTGTTAAGTCCTGCTGGTGAGGGTAAGGCTCACAAGATCACCTCTTCTGCTTTTTAAAAGTTTTATCTGCCTACAGAAAAGGAAAATCTAAATATTTCAACATCTGCCTTCCTGAAACATCTATCATTGGCCTCTGTTGTGATCTCTGAAGCAAATAAAGCAGGTCTATTCCCTATTATTCTCATGAATTTTTAAAGTTATGCTGAAGGTGGAATTTGTTATTGGAATTCATATACATTAAATATAACCTGAGGCAGGAACCTAGCAGGAAGTAGCTGGAGCTAGTAATCGAAAAGTTGCAAGGACACCAAACAGCTTCTTTCTGTACATGATCTTCATTCTTTTCTATTTTCTGAATAGAATTCTTTCCCCAGGCTGCTTAGCAGCAAAGAAAGGCTGCCACGATTTCAGACAGAATACGATTGTCGCCTCCTAAGTGTGCATCTCCTGTCTACTCAGCTGTGCTCAATTGGACTACAAGGTGGTGGAGTTATTCTTTCATAGGTGAGAAAGAATTAAGGCAGGACTCTTCAATATTTGCAAACACCATGAAAGAGAAGTACAGTGCTTTAATGACGTTAAGTCATTAAATTCAGCGCTCCCACTTTCCTAACTTTCTCAGCCTTATCTTTTCTAGCTATCTCACATATTCTTGAAAATGCACAGGTTCAAAACACCTCACCAATTGGGTGCCTACTTCTAGAAACTCAACAGTTGGTCAATGTTTTGGAAATTATGTTATCTCATGACAAGGGAAGAAATGCCTCCCATCGCAATTTAATACCAACACTAATATATTTAAATACAATTATATATCATCTCAAATTTATGTTATCATAATATCTCATGTTGAAAGTACCATTTTAAGGGACAATCTATTATTACTCTACTCATTTGTAGTCTTTATATATTGGTCTCATCTATCACTTATCTCTTAGTTTTGGACACTTAAGATGTTTCTAGGTTTTTTACATTTAAATCTATGCCACAATGGGTATCTTTACACATAAAAGTCTCTGGGTGGTATTTCCTTAGAAGAGACACAATGTGATGTAATATGATGTAATGTGCATAATAAAGTAATAAAAAACCTGAAAAACCACAAGAGGACTTATGGAATATAAGACACAAAAACATTTTTAAAGTGAAATTAATTTGAATATTTACCAAAAGATGAATAAAGAAGACAAAGTAAAAAGAACTCGTGCAGCAAAGAGCACCAAGTCCATTTAAGGACAGGATATAAATTTTGTTGGGAATCATCTTTAAATTTATAAATGTAAATGATACAAATATTGAGCAGTTAATCACAATAATAATGTTAATAGCATTTTAAATAGCAAAATGTATGAGAAAACAACTAAAGAGATATAAGCGAGCTAAATCACACATCTCTCATAATGGACCCAATAAATTATCTAAAATTGAAATGTGATGTTATAATAACTTGCATATTTTGTATCTTAGAAGATATTTTACAGATTAACGGGTCTTGAGGATATAAGCATTTAAAACAATTTTGGTATTACCTCAAGCAGTTGCTTTTATTTGAAATTCAAGGACCAGGCTCAGTGGCTCACGCCTGTAATCCAAACACTTTGGGAGGCAGAGGTGGGTGAATTATGAGATTAGGAGTTCAAAACCAGCCTGGCCAACATGGTGAAACCCTGTCTCTACTAAAAATACAAAAATTAGCCAGGCGTGGTGGTAGGTACCTGTAATCCCAGCTACTCGGGAGGCTGAGGCAGGAGAATCAATTGAATCCAGGAGCCGGAGTTTGTAGTAAGCCAAGATTGCACCACTGCACTCCAGCCTGGGTGACATAGCAAGATTCCATCTCAAAAAGGAAAAAAAAAAGAAATTCAAGGACATTTATGCTTAATATATTATAAATGAAAAACAGGATTAACAATTTTGTGTACAATTTTTATTGTCCATTTGTATGCATGTCTTTCCCATTCTTCTGTTGGAATATGCATAGATGTATTCATAGAATGATGTCCATTTAACAGTAATAATAGTTATTGCCGGTACTGGATTTTCAGAGTGAGAGTTATGTGTTTGTAATTTTAAAAATTTTCTTCTTTCTATTTTTTTATTGCCTTGATTTTTTTTTATGAACATACAACATTTGGAAAGCTTTAGTCATTATTCTAAATGTTCTTATTTAAATTTGATATACAAATTACTGAACTTTGTATCATAAAAACAAAAGTAAAATATAAAACAGAAAACGGTGAATGATTTAGATGTATGTTATTTTGTGTTAAGAAGGTTATTCCAAGATACACATAATTAGATCACTTGAGCTGTTAAAATGAGAAAGGTAGAATCTACTATATGTATGGCTTTCATTATGTGTGATTTTATATGCATATTTTTATATTTATGTTTGTGTATCTGTGTGAGTATAAAATATTGAGCACTATTCTAAGAACCATAAGGTATTTACTATTATCTTCTGTAGCTCATTCTATCTTTTGTATCAGGTAATTTATATTGGAGTAAAACTCTTTGAATATAGCAAATTTGAAAAAGTATTGAGAGCGTTTATATTTTAAACCATTTTACATAATTCCAGTTTCAGGGAAGCTTTGTAATAAATATGAAAACAACGTCAGCAAATATATGTAACTTAATAAGATTTTAAAATCAACTCTATAGATATAAAATAAAAGTAGAACAGCATTCCTGGCCTACCATCTCCTCATGCCATAGAGCTAATATGCTGCGGAAAAGTCCTACAGGTTTGGGAAAGCCTCCAAAATAAATACTTTCTTTAGTGTCAGAAAAATAAGACTGAGAGAGAGCCTTGAATACAATAAATGGCAAATATTTATTTTCATTCAACCTTAATCCATGATTGCTACTGACTCATCCAAAATAGGTTCTGCAGTTTCTTCTTTTGCTTTATCACATTATATACATATATTTATAAGGTTGTAATTGTTTCACAAATATTTACTGAGTTAGTTTTCTCTCATGTCAAAGTTTGCTTGTATTATAAATTAAGTTTCTTGAGAACTTGTCTTGATTGGCTTTTAAGGCCTTTAGAGGATATATCTTATGCTTATAAATATGCTTATGAATAAGGCTTTTGTAGAGACCCCTACAGATTCATTTCAATCCACATAGCTATGGAGTTAGTTCATCTCTGTCCACACCACATACCACTCAGACATCCAACCATCCACCCACCCAGTTCAAGAGATGTTCAGAGTGTCTGAGGTCATTGAAAAGGATTATCAATACCACTCAGACATCCAACCACCCACCCACCCAGTTCAAGAGATGTTCAGAGTGTCTGAGGCCATTGAAAAGGATTATCAACCTTGTTCCCATGTTGTCAGTGAGGGGCTGAACACACCTGGAGTTACAGAGAGATATCCTTCCTATGACTAAAGGGTTGGATACTAGCTATTTTTATGAGGGTTCCTCATGAGATGCCCACAAGAAAGGCAATTGACATAGTTCTCTGGCTCTGGCAATGTTAAAGACAGTCTCAGGTGCTGGGAGAGTTTGAACACTGATATAGTTACCATGAGATTGTCTTGTGCTGGTGGTGGGTGGTACTGCTCACATTGAGTCTGGAATTCTCTCCATACTGATTCTGTTTATGTTAACTTGGTTCTGGCTAGCACTGTGATTATTTATGAGTCTCAATATAATCCCTTCCTTTTCAAGTTCCCAGAGGCAGAAGAGGGTCAGAGGAAGGAGGACACGGGGAGAGACTGATCAACGGGTATTAAGTTATAGGTAGCTAGGAGGAATAAGTTCTGGTGTTCCGTTGCACAGTGGAGTGATCAAGGTTAACTATATCCCATGGCGTATTTCAAAATAGCTAAGAGAAAGGGTTTTGAATGTTCTCACCACAATGAAATGAGTCAATGGGTATGCTAACTACTCTGCTTCAATCATTACATAATGTATACATGTATCCAAACTACTTCATATAGATCAAGTATCATACGTCAATTAAAAGAAAAATTTACAAAAAGACCATGAAAGCATTAGGTAGTAGTGGGTGGACTAGAACCATGAGCCTTTTGGAAACATCTCCACCAACCACATATTTGCTAAGTCAGAAGCCAATTGATGCTCCCAGGACCTTTCTCAGAATGAGACATGTACATACACATATATGTGACTTTTAATGTTACATATATATTTAAGTACATTTATACACATATACCTGTGCATATATATATATATGGATATTTGTATATAATTAAAAGTAATTATTTAGAAAAAATTGTGAACATCTTAAATAAGTGCAAGTACTTTATTAAAAGTCTATCTGCCAACTTTATATCATGTATTATTAATGAAAAAGCTTTTAATACAGACATATGATATTACTTCTCTTGAAAAAGTGAAAATTGACATTTTAAAAAGCAGCATTCCATTAAGGGTTAGGAAGAAGAAAAAAAAAAGAAACAGCATTTTAATAATGAAAACTATGACTCAGGGTCATTTTAACAATTGCACTTCTTCAATAAATCCAAGAAAGCTCAGGGAACAAATTCAAATGTAACTTCCTTATTAAATAAAAACCCACCTGTTAGGAAAAACACTGAATCAGTATAAAACTTACAGCAAACCTATAAATGTGAAAGTACTATCTCAGTAAAGAATGAATCACTTATTGAAATTTTTTAAATGCCAGTGCATTTTACTTTTCTAGACTGTTTGTAGAGCATTTTAAACATAATTATCATAGACTTCTTGTTTAACCTTTTGACTTTCATTTCTTCTATGTCATTAAACTCAAATATATTTTGAAAATGATTTTTTTTATTTTAGTCTCAAAAGGTCTGGTATCTGTTTGCTGCCATATAGTCTCTTAAACAATTTTGGCCATATTAGTTAAACAGTTGTTATAAATAAACAACAGTCTAGATTCAAAACATAATATGGTTAATGCTTTTTTTTCTGTAATAGGAATATTTGTATATTTGAGCTGGTTTTGAAATATATATTTAGCCAAGATAGGAAAGTACATTCAAATGAAATAAAAAATAAGCTGTCAGAAAATATGCAAATTAATTTTTTTGAAAGTACATAAAGTGGAAGAAACAGGAAAGAGATTAGACATTTTCTTACAGATATATATAGTTAGATATTAAGTAAACAGGTTAATTTCAAGGATATTGCTAATTCAATCACTTTCATACTTGGTTTGGATGTTCAAATTCTGTTATTTTGTCTCAATAAATTTCATGTCATAAATTCTAATTAACCACTTCTAAATAATCCTAATCAAATACAAAGAAATCTAGTTCTTTTTGTTGATTTACTGGTATTATTTCTGAACTTAAAAGTTGTTTCCAATATTTAAACTTTACTGTCCATTATTAAAATGTGCTTCTCCTTTTTCCTAAGACAGAGATCCTCTTACATTTGAAAAATTTCAAAGCTTTTCTAGCTGAAGATTTCTAGGAGGTCATGAGTACTCTTTCTACCCTTTCCTTGTATCCCTCTCCTCAGCATCCCTGCTTCAGGAAAATTTTCTGCTCTTGATTTATTAGTTTGTAAACTATGGGTTACAAGGTATTGACTGACCTGCCTTTCTGAGGCACAAAGTCTTAGTTTATGTGTAGTGTAAATACATGTAAATAAGTGACTAGAACAATGTTCATGAAAACAATTTAGTTAGAGGAAGAAGACAGAAGAGGAAGCTGAAGGCAGCCCTGAATGGGTAGTCTCATCATCCGTGGAGGGCGGAGTGTGTCTTCTCCACCAACATGAAACTTCAATAAGAAAGTAAATGCAGCACATTCAGAAAAGAACAGAAATTTGAAACTTTTCAGAAGAGAATAGAATTATTGGGACACATCTTAAGGAGTGAGGTAACAATGTGATTTATTTTAAACATATCTCACTTTGACTTCATCATGGAGTAAGGCTGGGTAAGGGAGGTTGTGAAAGAATTAATTTTAAAAAGTATTTTTATTATTGTTACTCTTTTGGAAACATTTTTAAAACGTGTTTCAACCCTGGAACAACTAATTTTTTCAAAATTCATTATTTCAATATTTATATGAATAAAGAGTGAGATCCTTAAATCTAGAACTTCAAACATTCATACAAGATGTGGTTTGGATTTGTGTCCCTGGCCAAATCTCCTGTCAACTTGTAATTCCCAATATTGTTAGAAGGGCCTGATGGGATGTGATTGGATCACGAGGACCGATATCCCCGCTTGCTGTTTTGAGATAGTGAGTTCTCACAAGAACTGGTTAACAGTGCGTAGCATCTCCTGCTTCACCACTCTTCCTCCTGCTCCAGTCACGTAAGACAGGATTCCCTCTTCATCTTCAGCCACGACCGTAGGTTTCCTGAGGCCTCCCCGCCATGCTTCTTGTACAGCCTGTGGAACCATGAGCCAATTAAACCTATTTTCTTTATAAATTATCCAGTCACAGGTAGTTCTTTATAACAATGTGAGAATGGACTAATACCATATGTAATAAGTTATCTGACAGAATGCTAGACAGGAGTAAGAAAAATTAATATACTCAGCAAGCTGGCACAAGAACAGAAAACCAACCACTGCACGTTCTCGCTTATAAGTGGGTGTTGAACACAGAGAACACATGGGCACAGGGAGGGGAACATCACCCACTGTGGGCTGTTGAGGAATAGGGGAGTTAGGGGAGGAATAGCAGGGAGTGGGGGATTGGGGAGAGATAACATTAGGAGAAATACCTAATGCAGATGACGGGGGATGGAGGCAGCAAACCACCATGGCATGTGTATACCTATGTAACAATCCTGCAGAGTCTGCACATGTGCCCCAGAACTTAAAGTATAATAAATATACTCATGTTCAAAAAAAAAAAGAAAGAAAACCTCATGTATATTTTCAGTTCTACATACTGTCTCACTGTGTAACACAGAGCAGGCATTTATCACTCTGAGCTTATGTGTTGTATACCATACAATAAAGAATTCATTATCCTTTTTTTTTTTCAAGACACAGCCTCACTCTGTTGCCAGGCTGGAGTGCAGTGGTGCGATCTCCGCTCACTGCAACCTCTGCCTCCCAGGTTCAAGTGATTCTTCTGCCTCAGCCTCTCAAGTAGCTGGAATTACAGGCATGCACCACCATGCCCAGCTAATTTTTTTGTATTTTTAGTAGAGATGGGGTTTCACCATGTTGGCCAGGATGGTCTGGAACACCTGACCTCATGATCCACCAACCTTAGCCTTCCAAGGTGCTGGGATTACAGGTGCGAGCCACCATGCCTGTCCAATAATCTATTCTCTTTAAGACACAGTTATTTGTTGCTATTTAGAATGACAGAGTATATAATGAGACATGGTACATAGGTGTAACTAATTGTGATAAAATGGCTAAAAAAATGAGAAGTTAGGTGAAAATAATCTTCAGCATTTATTACTTAGAACCCCCAAATTTTACTGAAAGAAAGCCCAAAATTCTGTGACAAACTCAAGAATTGTTTCTTGATAGTGGCCCCATGTGTGTTTCTGCTAGGCCAGCCATGGGTAATTGGATCAAAGTCCAAAGGAAACGCTAATAAAGTAGATCTCTTGAATATGAAACAAAAGGAGACTTTCATAGATAACAAAGAAGCACAGAAGTAGAAAGACCCCAAAAAAGTATACAATAAACAAGATCCATAAAACAAGATACTTAACACAGAGAAGGAGTGATACAGTGAGGTGTTAATTACAGGCATAGAAACACGAATCAGGAAACGGCAGAGGCAGAAATAGAGGAACAGAGTTGTAAATTGCTTCTGAACAGGAGTAGCAAGGAAGAATAATGGTTCGTGAAATGACAAAATATATAAAGGCTATTTTACACTAGGCAAGACATAAAGTGGCAAGATGGAGCATTAAGCAGAGGAAGATATGAGCTCCAGGTAATCAGGGAAACTGGTAGTCATGAGGAAAAAGAAGTCGGATTACTGAAGAGTAGCATTCTCAGAAAGAATTAGTAGAAAAATAAGCTGAAATCTGTGACATCTATGATATCAGAGGCTATTATGAACTGAATTGTGTCCTCCCAAAATTTATAATTTTGAGCTCCAAATCCCAATGTGACTGTATATAAAGATAGGGCCTTTGAAAGGTAACTAAGATTAAATGAAGACATAAAGGTGCGTCCCAAATCCCATAGAATTGATGGTCTCACAAGAAGAGGAAGAGACACCTTCAGCCCCTACCCTGTGCACAGAGAAAAGGCCATGTGAGAACACAAAGAGAAGGCAGCCATCTGCAAGCCTGGAGGAGAGCCCTTTCCAGAAACTGAGTCTGCCAGCATCTTAATGTAGGACTTCCAGTCTGCAGAACTGTGGGAAAACAAATCTTACTGTTTAGATCATCCAGCCTGTGGTATTTTGTGATGGCAAACCTAGTAAACTAATACAGAGGCTATGCTGGGTTTTCATTCAGAATTTAGTATTTGCTTTTTAGGAAACAACAAAATGTGCTTCTATTCAAGGACTGTTCTAATAAAAAGGAAAGGGTAAGAGACTTAGACATCGTTCAAAGCAACTTAGCAAATCAAGCAGATTCATTTCAAAAAAAAAATTGTTGATTTACAACTGCACTCACTTCAGAGATTAGAGTTTTCAATTTTAGCTATGATGGTTTCCTCATTGTGGAAGAAATTACTTCCTTTTCTGTTAGTTTACTAATATATTAGTGCTAGATTGAAAAATTGCAAGTATCAGCTTGGGCGCGATGGCTCATGCCTGTAATTCCAGCACTTCGGGAGGCCGAGGCGGGTGGATCACGAGGTCACAGATCGAGACCATCCTGGTCAACATGGTGAGACCCCGTCTCTACTAAAAATACAAAAAATTAGCTGGGCATGGTGGCGCGTGCCTGTAATCCCAGCTATTCGGGAGGCTGAGGCAGGAGAATTGCCTGAACCCAGGAGGTGGAGGTTGCGGTGAGCCGAGATCACGCCATTGCACTCCAGCCTGGGTAACGAGTGAAACTCCGTCTCAAAATAGTTTCAAATTAATTATGTTTTTGAAATAATGTCAGCCTACAGTGAATTTTTACTTCTGCAAGACTGAGGGGACTAATTTAATAGGAAACATTATCACTAGACCTACCATATCAAGTAAAGCCAAATTTCTCAGAAATTCAGTTTTAATAAAATATAAATCAATAAAACAAATTTCAAGTTCACTTTGATAATAGAAAAAATATATAAATGTATGATCTTAAGGAATGATTTAATTGGCTTCTTTCTTTGTAATTTTAAATTGGTTTCTTTCCCAGAACTAACCCTTAAGAAGTCATTATACACTCTACCTTTCTGTTTCCTCTTTAAAATTTTTTTGGATAAAATTATTTGTCACAAAAAATTGACATCTACTGAAAATTTTGTGGTTTACAAAAATGTGTGGTGTTGTACCTCCACTATTTAAATATGAGACTGTCTTAACACATTCTTACAGTAATATCGCAGGCATTTCTCAGTCTTTAGATTTCCTCCCTCTCTAAAACCTTTCATAAGGAATTGTTTCAGTGCAAGTATTCCCACTCTCATTGAAATAATTGAGTTTCTGTTGTAGAATGGAAATGCTGCCTAGAAAAGAACACATGAAGGCAAAAAGGCATCAGAATTACAGAACAGAATTGCTAAACAGCACAATTAGGAAGAAATAATTGTTCATTAAAATAGAGCATTCATGCTGCTCATAAATTCAGACTCAGATGTGCTCCAGTTTGTGGCAACAAAGAGAAGCCCCCAGATCAAATATTTCTCCTAGTACATCCAAGTTTATCGAAGACTTCTTATCATCAGATATCAAAATGATTTCTTCTCCTTGGCAATTATCCAGAAAATGTGTATCTAGAAAACTTAGTATTTATAAAATATGGAAATGTGGAAAGTCTCTTGTCACAAATAATATTTTTGAATAAAATATGGCTTTGATATAATTAGTATAACTTAATCCCATCTGATAAATCCCTCTTCCTATATCTTTCCTTATGTTTGTCAAAAGTAAAAACGAAGAACATCTGTAAAAGTACTTCTTTCCCATTATTGAGATCCAGGTAGAATTTCGTTCTCAATAAGATTAGTGCATAATTCCTTTCATGTAACCAACACGGGTTTTTTCCCTTATATGTAAGGATTTACTTTTTATTTTTTTCCCTTAACTCTTTCTCTTTATAATTTCTGCCTGAATTAAGAAAATAATCAATATATTTTAAAGAAATTAATGCTCCCTTGAAGTAAAGTCAGATGAATCTGCATATAAGTAAATTTTAAGTAGTGACATTACACATTGCTTATACATCTCATCTCTCCTACAGCTGAAATAGTAACTTACTGATTTAAAATCTCCTTTTCTTATGGGAGTCCCACATTAACATTCAATACCATAAGTTTTTTAGGACTAATTGTTAAGTTTACAACATTTTTTAAAAAAGCCCTAATGAGACATATATCATTTTGTGTTTATCTATTTATTTATGGTCTTCTAAAATAAATAATCTATGAAAATATGAATGAATAAAGTAGATGAATATAAATTTCCCACTGAAGTATGTTATGTGTCATTCTGAACACAGTACGGAAAGTATTCACCAAAGACTCTCTTAATTTGAATTAGTTATTTTCAGTTTTGGGAATAAGCACTTTTCCCAAAAAATATTTCATTGTTGAAACATGGTTTTGATTTCCTGAAAGCATACAAAATATTTCAGGAATAAATGACATTAACTTGTGGTTATTTCATGCCTCAAGAATAGCTGTAATTATTTCTTCTCTGGTAGTTCAATACCCTTTCAACAGCTGCCTGAAAAAATCAATTGCATCTTGATTTCAATTTTTCATTGTGGTATTTTTTAATGGTTAGATTTCAAAAGAATGTGCTTATAATGATGAAAAATCATGCCAGTGTCTATATTTGTTCTTTTGGCTGATATTAATTAAATAAAATGAATTTAGCAATCATATGCTTTTATTGATAAGAATGAAAAAATAATTAGAAGGCATCCCTGGACCAGGCATCCAGGCATGATCCTATGTGCCTTGGTATCAGCTCTGCAATACTTAGCTATTTAATGTTAAGCAAGTATACACCTCTGGATTTTTGTTTGTTCATTTGTAAGGAAAGTGGGGATGGAGTACATAATCTTGAAGAATGCTTCTGGTCTAATATTCTCTGCATTTTAAGTGAGAGAATTGAAGAGCATAAACTTAATTTGAACACTCAGAAAACAAGGCACATGAAATGAGCCTCATCTGAACACTCAGAGAACATGCCCAATGAAAGGAGCCTGAACGCTCTATCCACTGTGGATGACTCAATTTACATATCGTGAAAGGAAATCATCTCAGTAACTTTGTAGGCATGACTATGCATTGTTTATTTA